CATGGGTCGTCAACATTAATTGGTTTCCAGTTCCGAGGCACTTTCACTTCCTTCATTGGCGGCTAAATTTTATGTGACGGGTGCCAAACTCTGTGCAGAATGAAAATTTAAAGTCCTGGGATGAGACTCGCTGTACGCACTATTAGTTCATTACCCAGCGGGTGCCAAGTAACTGTCCAGGGGTGCCACGAGGAGGCTATGCGACAACTTGGATTAAGGACAACAAGGATTGCGCTGACATTTTTCATGTTAAATGCAATCAAACACGTTGCCTTGTGTAGTAGCTCCCAGGGGCACGGCTCCTCCCCCCCCCCTCACGGATACCTTGCCAAACATAAATATTGCTGCTCTAGATCTGAAAAACACAGAATCTCCGAAGACCATTATTGTGAAGGATTTTAATGCATGAAGTAAGGCTTGGGCTCCTCTAAAACAAATTACAGGAGAACCACAATCGAATCTTTTTTATACAACTACAATTTATCGATCCTCAACTGTGTGAAACACACATATCTATCAACACACTATCCACTGTACACGTGTCACCCAGTTCTCTCGGCAAAAGTAATTTGGGTTCTCTGCACGATTTATAAGGCAGTGACCATACCGATTCTCCTGAGATTTAATGAAAATAGCGCAATTATAACATTCTCAGCAAAATATACTACCAAATTCCCTAACTATGAACTCTCACATACTCACATACAGAAAGTAAAAGAAAAGTCTGACAAGGTCAATTTTGTCAAAAAATTGCCACAAAATACACCTTCTGGTGTTCATTACGGAGAAAATCATCGCGCTTCAATCTGAGACTAACCCTTCAACCAAGCATAGCTAATCGAAGAAAATCTCAAACTTTTGAAACCTAGTCACGCATTACAAAAATCAAAAGACAACAGTCCAGATAAGATTACGTACTGTATGATCAAAAAACTTTAAACTTTAAAACCACTAGCAGAATCAACATCTTACCGACCAATATAACTCATATCATGTTTGAGTAAAACAATAGAGAAAATGACAAGAAGATGGCTTCTATGGTTTCTCTATACCAAAAATTTAAGGAAAAATAAACCTCATTATATAAAAGCACAAACATTTTAAACACTGTCTCTATGCTGACGATCTATATCTAGTTACCATCATTCGAAATATCTTTGAAATACAATCTCAAATCAATGCTCTTTTCTGTGATATATACAACTGATGCCACATCAGATGAGTCTTAATATTTTTATCTAAAAGTAAATTCCTACATGTCTACAGAAAAAATTATGCTCCTGCTTAAATATATCACCACAAAACACAAACCTTGAAAATGTTAATAATCTCGAAATGCTTGACGTATATTTAACATAATACATCTCAACAACGATCACTTTATCCTTAAAATTTTAAGCAGCATCAATGGGCGCGGCCAAACAGCAACTGTCATTCATTTACTCAAAGCTCTTATTTTAAGCAATATTTACTATGGCCTAGTCATATATGGTAAAACTGCATCATCAAACTTAACTCGCAGAAAATAAATTACCAGGCAGCAAAAACCATACGCTGAGCTTTTCATACCCCAACCACTAAATGTCTCCTCGTCGAAATTCAACGTCAAGATATTTATTTAGGTTGACGCTTCACTGTCAACCTAATTCCTGAACTCTGCAACAGAGCTAACATTATTTATAATGACTCAAAAATGATTAAGAAACTCAAGAAGAGACCAAAAATCAAAAGCATCATTTCTTCAACCTTCGACATAGTCTACAAAATAGTAGACTATTTATATATATATTTACTTTTGTAAATATTTATTGTGACAACCTCTCCTATTTAAATTTCATAAAAAACCACACGGCAGACGAACCCCTAATTCTTCGAGTCAAAGAAGACTCGAATTATTGTATCAAAAACTACATAAAAAATGATATAAGAAAAGGAACTTTATCCTACTTACACATGAAAAATTTGGCAACTTGGACGCACCACTTTAGCTACTATAAAACGATTAACCAACACAAACCCAAACCTAATCAACCACCAATCTTATCACATTCTCAGCAGAGCATCATAAGATTAAGACTAGAATTTGTCAACCTAATCCACATTCACTTGCTCTAAAAGGATGTACAACCAATATACCCCAAATGTCATCTTATAAACTGCTATATCAACCCAACCAACGGCACCAGCCTTCTCAATGCAGTTAAGAATCGCGACTACAATGTAATAAAGCTACACCTACCTATATAAAATTTAGATATGCATAATTCTTAACATGAATATAAGCCCGGGGCTAAGGACCTAGTATGTAGTTCAGTTTCTAATTCTTACTTAACTTTAGTTTCTTTAATTTTAGTGTCTCACTACTACCACTTCTAACCGTCCAGCAAATCGGCAGATAATTGATGGCAACTTTAACAGTAAGCACACCATTTGGCTCACTGATAACTTACTGAGCCACGACATTAACCTTTTTCCCCCTCCGTCTCTCCCGCGTAAATTCTAATCTCAAATAGAGAAAAGGCTCCATAATTTACTAAGAGAACTTTGCGTTATTGACGATATATCTAACCAGCAAGCAGTGTAGCACCCTCTCTTTGGCCACTCTCACTACTACTTAACTTTTCAGCCAGAATTGAACAACACTCTGGACTACTATATTTTTATCGCTGTTCCATAATGAAATGTCCCATAATCCATATCCCATAATGAACGCTTTCGTAACGTTTTCGCCCCAATGTTCAGCCCTCTGCACAGATGATTATGATCCCAACGGTCTAAACACCCCATCGGGCCTCTAGAGACACTCTCCCTCAAAACTCCCAAAAAGTTCACGGGTATCGATAAGATATCCTATTACACACTACGTCGCCTGTTCCCCATATTTATTAATTCGTACACTATGATCTTCAATCATGTCTACAATTCGGCTATTTTCCACAGCAATGACTTTATTTAATGTCAGATCGTTGTTAAGTTAAGCAAGCTATAACAAATATTTTTCAAAAAACTTTGCCAAGTCAATAACAAATATTTGTAAGGGCAAAAATGGTAGAGTTAGCACTCAGCAATCAAGAAAAAAGCAAATACAACTAAATTAAACTCAACGTCAAACTTCCAACAAGCTTTTATACACCTACATTATGAAAATCCATTCGATCTAACGACGGATGCTTCATCCCTAGGATTAGGCGCTGTTCTATTCATCCACCATTATCAGCGAATTTCGTGTAGTGTCTGCGACTTCCATGACAACAATTACATAATTGAAGCCACTGACAAACTAATGAATTACTTCAGAAACCATGTAGTAATTAAACGGGCAGAGGTGACATTGACATGTACTTTTACTTGTTCATTTTTTTCGATGAAGAATTATTAGAAAATGTTAGAAAGGTGATAAAAGCTGACGTGGTAAATGCATTTCAGTGCGAACTAGCAATTATAGCTTGTATTAAGAACGAGTTCGTCAAGACGTTTCCAAAAATTTTGGAACTCTAAACGCGTTGTTATAAATATATTCGATAAAAATGACAAAAAGGATATAGTAAATATAGATATAGTAAATATAGAACACAGAGCCGCTCAGAACAACGTTAAACAAATCTTACACAAATATTTTTCCAAAAATGACAAAATTGCGCCAATAAGATTGAATGAGATTGTTCCAAATTGCAAAACGTACTCGAGAGGTAAATACTGATCGTATTCCACCCCGATTCCACCTTATGTTGGTAAAATTCTTTATCTGGACATATTTTCCAAAGGTAGAAAAGTTTATGTTCGGTATTTCTGGAACATTCTTGAGATAACAAATTTAAAAACCTTCATTAACCAAGTAGTCAGTGAGTTCATTCTCGGAGTTTGTAGTGTACAGTTCAGTGGTTAATAAATCATTTGTATAAAATATTGAGGAGTATTCAAAAAAAAAAATACAAAATGACATTTTTTGATGTTTCAATTGAGAATGTCTAAATAAATAAAATAAAATGAATTTAATAGTAAATAAAGCTGCCAAAATAAAATTAATAAATAATTTTGTTAATTAAAAATTGCGGTAATAACAGTTTAGAAACAGTGTTAAACTACATGAATATTGTGCCAATAATAATAGATCTTTTCAGTTACTCGCAAGTATGGCAAAAAACATCAAGTTGCTGGCCTATACTGGCCGAAATGTACGCAAAACAACAACACTATTTTCTCTATCTAGGCCAGCAGTTGTATACTGTGTATACTTCTCCCAGTAAAGAAAAAAGTGTTACCAACGCAATAAGCGAAGTATTGTAAACATTCGTTGGTAATTCTAACTAATATTGCAATCATATGTCAAAAATAGATGTGTTTCATTAATTTGAATATTGGGAAAAAGAAACATTTCACTGTTTTATTTTGAAATTTCTATCATTCGTTTTAATTTTGTATGTATTTTAATTTTTGCGTTATGTGCACATGTGCAAGCTTTGCTATTTGCCAAAACATAACACTTGACAGATTGCAACAGTGATGCCAATATCTCGTGTAGCGAATATAGGCCAGCATGCATTTTTTTGCATTATTTGTGAGCCACCGTAGAGGTCTAATATTTATCACTGTATATTTCACAACTGTGCATAACCTGAACTTATATGTACATACCATATTTATCATTAATAAAGTTTAATTCTACTTATTAAGATATTTATTTAAAAAATAATTTAATGATAACATAAATAATTGAATAATTAATAAAAAAATAATGGCATTGAATTTAATTTTACGAAATTCCCTAAGATCGGTAAATGAAAAATAAATAAATTTGCCTACAGAAATTATTTAAATAAATAAATTAAATAATTAATACAAATTACACAGGAGCAATGCATACATAAAAAACTAATTGATTTTTGTAGACTAGATACTATAATAAAATAAATATAATGTGAAAAAAAAGGTATTTAAATTCACCTACAACTTTATTTCGATAATTAATCAGAATGCAATCGATTAATTTGTACCACAATTACCATCAGCAGTATTTGCGACATAGCAAACGAAGCTGGGTTGTGTATAAATTTTCGAAAGGGAAAATTTCGTTTTGTAATAAAATCCTACATTATCCATTTTGTAGGAAATATTTTAATTTATAATTTGTAGATATTTGATTGTTGCGGAAAAAACAATAAAGTGCTGCTTAATATTGGTTGGAGAGCTACGTATGTAATACTGAAAAATCAAGTGCGCTAATTTTGTAGTATAATTAATAAAAATTGTAAACACAACTTCCTAGTTGATATGTATAATGTTTGATATATAGTCGGAATCTAAGAAATATCAACCAGTTTCTAACCAGTAACAATACATATAATTGCTTTCTGTATTTTCGTATATTCAAAAACCTAAAATACAATAAAAATATATTTTGTGCAACAAACCAAAAAAATGCTCACGGCAACTTCTTTATCAAACACAAATAAACAATCAAATGCAACTAATTCAGTGACGTCCATACAGCCTGTTTCCAATGTTGCGTCACCATCAAACAGTATTAAAAATATAAAAAACGAACCATTTACATCCTTATCACCCAAAATTGGTAAATACGCTATAAAAATTAATTTAAAAACAGGGCATTATTACTTATCTATATTTCTAGTCGAAAATGTAAACAATACGAATGTTATGGACGATCGTCCTAATAATAATAATTCTAGTAATAAGAATTTAACCATGGATACTCAAATAAGTCAAACCGCCCGAGAACGGGATAACTCATCATCGTCAAATGTGATTTTGAGACAAAACTCAAATAACATAGGTTCTTGCTCAACGAGTATGGCTATTGTTTCTTCTCCCAATCATGGCAGCGAACATTCAAGTAACAGTAATTTGTCACAGAGTAATATGGATAAAGTAAATTCAGATATTACCCAAGAAATTAGCAATGATAAATCGATTAAGAAAAAATGTAATAGCGTTTCCAACCTATCAGTGAAAGAAGAAGATGGTTGTAAGTTTTAACATAATTAAATTTTGAAAAACAAATTGTTTTAAATTGCTTTCCTTTTAGTGGAAAAAATAAACACAAATACAATGACGAAACGTGTTACTTCTGTTACTCCAACCATAAACAGCACAGCATCAATAAAAGAAGAGCCTGATCGTATAAATAATTTAGTTACAATAAAAAAAGAGGACACTGCTATATCGCCAGAAATGTCACCCGTTGGATTTGGAACAATACCACCTGTTATTGGAGCATCATCGTCAGATAAATTTGCACGGGCTGGTACTCCTGGTAAGCTATCAGAATTCTAAAATAGTGTTTTAAATATATCTGGTGTATGTATATATCCTTAATTTATATATTGTCAGTGATTTTTTGTAAATAAAAAAAAATTCCACATCTATCTACACCGGAATTAGGCTTTCTTAGGTTGTGAACAAAAAATATTCTCTTGATTCCTCTTGATTCGTCGGACGCGTGTTTCTGAATGAATTAATTAAATAAAGTGAAACAGTTTTAAAAACTAAACAGTTAAATAACTTGATCAAATATCGCATAAAGTTGCACTATCGCATAAAAGTATAATTTCTGATTATACAAACTTTTTACTGGTTTTACTTTGCTTGACCTAAGTATTTTTCGTTTTAATTCCAAATTCACAACATATTTTATGTTGCATGTGTTAATTGCTTGTTTAAGTTGTGTCTTAAAATATCTAACTATATACAATTTGCGAATGATTTTATACTGTTTTGTTTAGCTGGGCGCCAAATCTGGAAATCGACAAATGTGGTTGTTTTTTCTTAATTTCCTTATTCAATCGATGCAATAATATGCAACGGTAGGCTGATGTTATTATATGTCTTTTTTCCAAATAGTCTTTGAAAATTATTTTACCTGTATCCCAAAATACGGAAGCCAAAACTTTTCCAGTCGATTGTTCAGTTCGTGGTAGTTTGGAAGCATGGGTTCTAACCATTCTCTGGTTTGTTGTTTTCCCTCAGGTGTGAAATTATGGATCCATGTTTCACAAATTGTCACTACTTGTCGCTCACAGTCAGCTAGATTGTAGATTTCAAAACAATTTTTTTGATCAATAGTGGGGAAACGCGGCGACCATCTGGTCGAAATTTTTTTCATACCTAAATATTCATGTAAAATATTCGATACATGTTTACCTATATAAAATGCTTGTCAACTCTGCTATTTCACGTAATGTAATATTTGGATTATCCAACACGTTATTGTGGATTTTTTCAATGTTTTTTTCAATTGTGACTTCTTTTGGGCGATCCGGACACCCTTCATCAATAACACTCGTACGACCACATTTAAATTCAACGTTTCAATATTTTATTGTAAACGATGGTGCAAGTTTGCTATAAACAGAATCCATTTCCAATTTGATTGCATCATTGTTCATTCCTATCAAATAGAGAATTTTTATTACTGAACGATATATAATTTTTTCCGTTTTATAAAAAAATCACCAAGGTGCACTATTTAGAATAAGCTAAGCAAACATCTGATGAAGTCGAAACTCCTACAGCTGTCGCTAAAACTTGATACACAAAATACAATTAATTTCGTTCTGGCGTTGGCACCTGTTGTGAAGTCAGATAGTTGTCAATCCACCCCACCTAGTATAATCGCAAACAAAACTTATAGCAGTTTGTATTAGTGTTATTATATATTTTATTATATTGTTGCTATTGTAGCTCGCGGAGATTTGAAACATGAACATGAAAGGAATTACATAACAAATACATGGATTAGGACTAAGGATCGAGAAGATTATTATAGAGTGAGGGAGGATTGAGGATGGGTGGGATTAAATTGATCAACCATGATCAAGATGACCACTTTAATGGGGTGGGTCTAAAGTTCGATTGGACTGAGGCTTGGGTGTGCGGTGAAACAGGAGAACAAATAAGCGACATCATGGGGGTTAGATAACCAGTTCGGGCACACATTAGGAATTTACGTATTTATGCGTGACAAGAAACCGTTTAGCACATGCCTTTATTCTGATTTCAATTGAGTTAGGACAGTTTTTGCTGTAGGGGGGAGTCGTCGTTTTTCCTGGGAAATGTTAGGCGAAGAGAGAACTTTGTTTGAGAACTTTGTTTCATGACAACCGTGGTTTCAAAGAGTATACCACGGGAACTTTAAGTTCACGTTTCTATTAGTTCTCGTTTCATATGTATGATATGAAGAAAGGGATCGACGAATGTATCTTGGAGCGAGGCAGTACTGAACATGACACAATTGGGATGTCCATCTGTATGTGCACGTAAGGTGGTATTGCTAGCCAATTCGATGATTGGCTAGAATTGTACAATCATCGGAATACGTTATGAGTCTACGAAATTATATGTTATATTATTTTATATTAAATTCATTACGTACGTAATTAAATTTCCAATTCAGTTTCTTTTTTAATGCGAGCCTTGTATGATATTTATTTTATTTGAATGATGTTCCATATATTAGTTATAAATAATTTTGTCACTGTAAATAAAATAGTCCTTTGATGGTGCATATAACACATTTCTGAAAACTAAAATAAGTAAAATATGTTAGTTCTGAATTTCTTTTTGGTACTTATGTACTACTTTTATAAGTATGTTACCCAAATATATAACTTTTTTTGTCTTTACAATTAAATTTTTTTACCAGTACCTATGTTTCATCGGATGAGTGCTCATTGGATAGATTGATAACTTTTCTGATCCAAAGAATGTGTTTATATTGCAGTATAAATATTGTAGAGCAGCAGTTCTCAACCTATTTTTATGGTACACTCCATTTTTGAGTATTGATTAAAAACAGAGTATCCTTTATATTTCTTACAAAAAAATTATTATTGATCGTGTGCAGTTAATATTATTTTGATTTATTTAAGAAACGATGATATATTTAAAATAATATTAATGCATATTTTTTGGGTTAGAATTTAAATCAAACATAATGTATAAAATATATACAATTTTTATTTCTAGTAAAACAAAATGAAATTTTGCCAAACATGAACAATAATAACAGCAATGAAAAGGCGTCATCAGGCTTAGGAAACAATAGCAGTTGTAACGAGGATCTTAATATTGGAAGCAGAACTTCAAATGATATATGCAATAACAATATAGGACAACAAATTTTAACGACTTCTGTTACTGGAAATGCTAACACCGGTATATTACTTGGAAATTCTATGGAGTATATGCAACAGCAAAATCATATATTTGTTTTTTCAACAAAATTGGCAAACAAAGGAGCTGAATGTGTGTTGAGTGGCCAGTTTCCGACTATTATTGCATATCATTGCACTCAACCTGCGACAAAAAACTTTTTAGAGGATTTTTTTATTAAAAATCCTATGAAAATGACAAAACTTCAAAGGCAAAATTCGCTGAATATATCCGGTTTGCCAGTTGGTAATTGTGGTCAAGCTTGGTTAAGTAATAGTAATTCTAATTCATTATCAAAAATTCCACAAAAAGTAAATAATACAAAAATAAATTTTGGTGTTATGGACGCAGCTGCATCGGATAATAAATTGCATGCGAAAACGAATTTACGACAGTCAAATATAGTTGGTTTTCAAGAAACAAGTGATGCACTTTCTGGTGAAAATGATATTATGTGCTGGGAACAATCACGAAATAATTTGGAAGAGTCTGGAACTACAGACAATCTTCATTCACATATTAAATTATTAGACGGAGTTGGTACAGAATCTGCAGTGGAAGTAGCATTAAATCGCCAGAGCGTACCTAACAAATCAATTAATTCATCAGATATGATTTCAGCTGATAACAATATTCCATCATTACAAGGTGTTAAAGTACCAGATGAGAATTTAACTCCTCAACAACGACAACATCGTGAAGAGCAGCTTGCAAAGTTAAAAAAAATGAATCAATTTTTATTTCCAGAAAATGGTAATGAGTTTCGTGCAGAATCAAGTAATATGTTACAAGGAAATAATCAGCTGGAAAAACTAAGTGATAATGTTGGTAATAACCTTACTGGACTAATGTTGAACATGCCGCCTGCGTCAGGACTTGGAACTCAGATGGGATGCACAATAAATCCTACTTGTATGCGAAATATTTCGTCAAATTTAATAAATCCAAAACAGGGTGAAAATTTGACGACGGGGCTTGAAGATGAGGCAGTAATTGGAAATGATATTATGAGTGCTCATGATATAGCTGGAATTCAGTGCAATAATAAGAATAGCGGTAATAAGAACTCTATTAGTAACCAGTCTAATACAAGTTGCTCAAGTGAATTAACTATGAATTCAATAACAAATATCGGCAATATGAATAATAATAATGCAGTATCATGTCTTGGAGCAAATCCTAGTACAACAGGACCTACTGGCAGTGGAGGATTAATATCGAGTTCCCCAGAAATTGTAGGATTTAATCAAAATTGCATTGTGAACGATACAAATACTGTTTTACAACATAAATCGATGTCAACAAACTTACATAATCAAGATGTTGGCCAACTTTGTATGTCATCGCAAATGGAGTGGTCTAAAATGCAAAATCAATTTTTCGATGATAGAATGAAAAACAATAAAACTTCAAACGGTATATCCAATTCTTTATGTCGTTCTACTTCAACTGGTGCTGGGAACTTGAGAACCAACTTATCTACAAGCAATACTTCTTCTACTTGCCAAAGTTCTCAGTCTCAAGCAATAAGATCTAATCAAGGACCTCCTCCACCTTATCACTCTACTCAGCGGTGTTCTTCGGTACCAATCGCAATACAATCGCCAAATCCCACCAGCCCGAATAATCCGACTTCAAATTTGTCATTACCATCACCTCGCACAGCAGGTGGAATGCCAGCAAATTCACCAAATATGGATGTGCATACAATTACATCGACTCCATCGACATCGTCAATGACAGCAACTGCATCTACGGGTAATTCAACAAAAACTAGCTTTACAACTCAAGAGAATTCATCACCAACCAGTAACAATTCTAATACCAATCGTAGTCGGAATAACTTGAATCAGTTTAATAGCAATCCTAGTACACCAATTTCAAATATGTCTCCAAAAGATATAGAGACTTTTACCTCCAATTCGTCAACTGGTATGAATTTTGATTAAAATTTTAACTTCAAATATTTTTATATATAATTTTAATATACTTCATATATATACTTTCTAGGTGACTTAAAAAATCTTCGTCCTAGTCCACAGAGATCACGAACTCCTTTAATATCTTCTAATAATAGTAACGTATCAGAACAAAGTGGTATAGAATCACGATTTCCTTCTGTTAGCCCTGGGTCCAATTTTCCACAACACCTTCAAAATAGTGGCAATAATGTAAGTGTAAGTGTGTAAGCCAATAATACATGTATCATAATATGAAAACTTTTTAATGTCGAAATAATTATGAAAGTAACGGGTTTTGCTATTTTTGGTTCCGTTAATTTTTCCTTAGACGTAAACAAGTTAAAAAAAATACTTAGACCGAAAATATTTTAACTGAAAATATAAGTGCTATTAAACCAAATACAATAAAACAAGCAAACATTTTTTTGCCAACTTATTGAATTATGCATTCCAATATTGTGACATTTCTACGTGTGAGCTACGTATCGGCTAAGCAATTTCAGAATAGTTGGATAAAATAAACCAGTGGGTCGTTTATGTAACTTTCTCACTTCGTTTTCTTAAACGATTTTCTCACTTTTGACAATTACTCACTAGAAGTGTTTATGTAACTGTGGTGAATTGTTTTCTCACTTTTTTTCGTTCACCTGTCAAATTGCTTGCAAGAAGTTTTGAATTTTGAATGGAAAAAAGTAAGTTAAAGTGAATAAATTACAATTTTTGGTACAAGTGCTATTTGCAAACACTAAGCAACCTTTTAAAATTGTTTCATTTTCGTTCCATTTTTTCAAAAAAACGTTCCGTTTTCATCAGTTTCTCTCATCACACCATAACGTTCTCGTGTGGTGAATTTTTCATGTTACATAAACAGCAAACTCGAAAGAAGTGACAAAAAGCAAGTGAGAACTTTTCGAAAGAAATCGTTCGAGTTTAACTCGAACGATTTATATAAACGAGCCACAGCAGTATTGTTATTTTGTATGTCATTCTTAAAGTAATCACTTATCTCATTGTCCCTACAAAAGATAAAATATTAGTATTTCTTTTGTTATAATTAAGATAATTCTATTTATTCATAAAAGTTTTGACAGCTAATGATGCTTTGGAAAAAGTAGCTATCAAGCTAAGTCGAAATATACCGACATTTTTCTTTTCAGTTTAATTTCCTATTTTCGCTCTCGCAAAAATATTAATATTTTTCTTTTGTTGTGTCAGTCTTGGGTCCAAACCGCGCTTTTTGTTTTAAATACTTAAACAAAATTTGGTTCTTTCAAGTGCACAAAAAAAACATGAAAGGAAAAAGATATGTGAGCACAACGATAGAGCTTAAAAAATCAAATAAAATGAACTTTTACTTAAGGAGAGATTCTCGCACAATACTAACAAGCTCACCGTAGCAACATTTACATAATTTGGTATTCTAGAATAGTACGTAACAAGACCTGTTAAGCTACTTATTGTTACCTGTGTTTTTACCAACTGATGTCAATGTAATAATTAAAAACATAGAAATATAAAGACATCTAATTTGACTCTGTTAAAAAAATCATGAATTCTAGAAAGACACACCCAATGGGAAAAACATGTCTGTTAAACATAAAAACTATCGAACTTAGTATTTTATGTAGGATCACTAATATTTTGTTATTGTAGTCAGCAATCAAATCAATAGTGAACACAACGTATTTTGCTTGGACAAAACCATATAGAAAAAACTCTAATATCAGAGCAATTGCACACAAAGACGAATTAGAATTTTTTGGTAACGAATGGACCGACAAACAGCAACAACACTTATTCTACTATTGATTGTTATTACACACTACTAAATGTGTACATGTAATACACAAGTGCTTTCAAATTACGTTAAATTGGATTTATGATAAAATTTTATACTGGCTTCATACAAAAATATTGGGTTTGCCCCGACAGTAACCGGTATCATAGTTGTTGTTAGTGTAAATGCTATGCTCTATAGTACTATGCAATGATATCATGAAGTACACTACCGTTGTTTAATAATTAATTATGTTTTATATATTAAGTTTTTAATATTACTTAATAAAATAATAAAATAGAATTATAAAGTAAATTGTCAGACAAATCATATTCATAAATTTACTTTATTATTCTATTTTATATAATTTAATTAAAATTCAAAACTTAAAAAACAAAAAGAATTGGTACAATGATATAGCCAATGAAGCTCAAACCCCAGCTGAACTACATAGAAGTGATATGTACAAAGATACTAGAAAGCTTACTGAAAATAACATCAGGAACAGTAAGCCGTTGAAATATGAAAATGGGGTACTGCTTACAGCATTGATCTGTAAAACAAATGCATATCTGGTCCCAATTTTATTGTAATATGCTAACTAATAAGAGTTCCGAGGTTCAATTTTACTCCGACCACGGCAGACATTTTGAAAATAGCAACATTTTTACCAGATCATAATTGCAAAAAAAAACACTAAAGAAGGACAAAGCACCCGGGTCCGACGGTTTAGCACTGGAACTACTGAAAGTTGACTCACATATAAGCGCCCATATTATCCATCCGTTAATAGAATGTTTTTGGCAGACAAAGAACTTTGAATCATAAGACTTCACAGAAAGAACTAATTAACGAGGCATTACTCTGTTGAACATGATTTATAAAATAATAGCGCATGTCATCAACAGACTTTCAACAGTATTAATAGCAAAACTACGCAGAGAACAATCTGAAATCCGACCTTACAAGTCTTATATTGATCTCATAACCAGCCAAAGAATAATCGTTGAACAGTCTGTAGAATAGAGATAGTCTCTCTATTTTTTATTTATAGACCTCGAAACATTATGTCACACCGTGATTTGGTAAACGCTTGATAATAAGGGCGTGCCGCAAAAGATCATCAGGTTATACACCTTATACAAGGATGTCAATTGTCAGGTATTGCACGAGAAATATTAAGTGATATAATACTCATAAAAACTGGCGTTCGACAGGGTTGGTATTGGGCCAACGTGGCGGAATAACTTGGGGTCGTTAAAATCGCTTGAGTGATCTCGATTACGCCGATGACTTGTGTCTGCTGGCACACAGTTATAGTCACATTTTTCGCAACCTAAATCTTTTATTAACTACGGCAAACAGAGCGGGTCTTAAAATCAATGTTGTCAAAACAAAAGTTATGCGCATTAATGCTAACGTCCAAGAATCTTTTGTTATAAACAACTGCTGTTTGGAGGATGTAGAGTCTTTTTGCTGTCTTGGAATTAGCCTATCAACAAATGCTGGATCCAGTGCTGATATCAAGAACCGTATTAAGAAGGCAAAACAAGCGTTTGGTCTGGAACTAAAGTACGAATATTTAACTCCAATATAATAGCTTGCCTCCTATATGGATGTCAATTTTGAAACGCTGCTGCAAACAATGCACTAAAAATTTTCGTAAATCAGTCATAACACGGAATTGTTAAAATATTTTGGCCAAATACAATTTCACGCTTATGGCCTTTAACTCAGCAAACACTTAAAAGAACCGAAATCAAAAAACGAAAATGGGACTGGGTCGGTCACACTTTGCGTAGGCCAAAAGACCATAAGAATGGCAATTGAGTGAAACCCGATTATCAGAAGAAGGGGCACTTGGAAAAGGCAAATTGATATGAAAATACAGCACATGCTGGAAAGAGTTGAAGCTACTAGCCAACAATAGTACTGAGTGGAAGATTTTTGTTGCGGCCATATGTTCCTCCTAGAAGTTAAAGGATTCAATATATATATATTAAACTTATATGTAAAATAACAAAGCGTAGATCTTGTTACCACATTTTAGTAAACTATCGAAAAAGAAGAATAAACTTTTTATCGTCGGTGAGGTTAAATAATGAATTGCAGGTTATAAAATAAATGTTATACCAAAATTAAAATGATTCTCAGTAATTTTTATTAAAGTAATCAAATCAAGCTTTTAAAACGTTATTGAATAGCAAAATTTGTGTTAAAACTTTAAATGCGGTGCACGGGTCTCTATGTCTTAAAAAAACGAAAACATCCAAAACAATTAATAATTAATATTAAAATTGTTAATTTTAATTTAAGTCATTTTAATTACGAAATTAATTTTTAAATTCACTCAAGTATAAGATTTGAACTGCATTTAACCTAAATATAAATATATTTTCTTTTGCAAGCATATCACAAAAGAATAACCGCTTATTTTAAAAATAACATACAGAACAACGACACTGCTGGCTTTTTGAAACCGCTTAACTGTTAAGCAGGTCAAATCGCATGGTTGACAAGACTAAAAGTTAGTCTATTGTGAACGACTTTTGAAGTACCTACGAAATTTCCAGTTAACTGTAAACGAATGAATTCGTTAGTTATTCGTATTTCGTGTAGTCATTGTTCGTAAAAACTACGTCACCTTTTCTATTTATTATTTTACTGTTAAAAGACATGTTTTATTCACAATCATGTAAAAAATAATATTCTTACCAATAATTGCAAAGAATTATTGTTCATTTTTGAAATTTTAAATTTTTTTAGAGGTGCCATCGAAAGTAGTGCTTATTATATTTGTTCTTTTGCGACACGCTTACAAAAGAAAACGACTATACATATGCGTTAAAGTTAAAACAGCTAATACTATGTCTGCTAACAAAATTTGATATTATACGAATATTTCAAAAACCGAACTTATCAGATTATTCGATTAAACGGATAGTAATGAAGTCTCCGGAGTTGAAAATAAAATCGAATTTTTTGTAAATCCAGAGTCTTCGAATATTCGAATTTGCGGTTAGTATTCGTAGTGAAATTATTCGGAGACTTCGAATAAGCTTCGTGAGCAAAACTTAGAGAGCACAAAATGCAAACGAACGTGCATCACACAATAAACACAAATTTTTGTGACAACTTAATAATAATGTCCTAAAATTGAACTCTATTCATATATAGAATTATACAAAAATTTATTGTAAAAAAACTTTGCTTAAGCAGTGTCTATTGTTAATAATCAAATTATGGGATTACAACCTGCAATATCTATTTTAGTAAACTAAATTTTACTATTATAGGAGTATTCAAGATTTCCAAGGCAATATGCAAGACCATATTTTCAACACCAATTACCTCTTGCATATATTATTTTCAAGACTCTATTGTGAATAACACTACTTTTTTACTGTTTGCTGAGCAATATTTTAGCGAAGCTGTCAAGTTTTGTTAAATATTGTTTGATTTTGTATCTATTTTACATCCAAAAAAGTGCTATATTATACATATAAAAGCACAAATTTAAATTACCTATTAATACTGCATCAGCAAAATCCAGCACGGTATCCAACATATTCTGCATCGTTAAAATTATGCATATCGAATCTGAGTTATATTTTACAACTTAATAAATACAAAAACAAAAATCAACTGTTATAAATATTTGCAAGACTAAGACGAAAAGCATTCACGATTATTTGAGTTTGCAGTGATGCACAGAGATCTTGAGTACCTCTAATATAATATTAATTATAGTATAATATAATAGATATTAGTATAATATTAAATTATACATTGACACAACAATAACCTTAAATAAACCTTTTATATAACTCAAATAAAACAACACATTTTTTTTATTTTATTTAGCGGCAAACTTCAATTCCGGTCCAAGGACAATTGTGTCGACGTTCTGACAATGTTCCATTAAATCCAAATATCAGTCGATCAAATCCGAATAAAATGAGTTTACCTTTTGATCCAATTTCATCGCTTGCACAAATGTCACAGCAGTTGACAAGTTGCGTACCATTAAATTCAGGAGTTGGAAATAGCGTTTGTAATATGGGTGAAAATAATATATCTTCCAATGTTAATCAAAATATGGAAGCTCTGATTTCTACCATTGATGGCAATGTGGACCACTGTAGTCCAATATCAACAAACAATGCATTAATACCACCTCATTTGAATACCGGTGGACCATTCGGTACAAGTAACTGTCACATTAATCCGATGATTAATTCAATGGGTCAACGGCTGTTGAGCCCAAAAATTTGCGGCAGTGGATTTCCTGCAAATACAAGTGGAATGAGAGAAGCGCATAATAGCTTTCCTGGAATGATGCCTGGGCATCCCCGTATGATAGGTCGATTACCATTTGGAAATTTTAATGTGTCGTCAAATATCCAAGTTAAGGCTAGTACGCCAAATACAATACAATATATGCCTGTCAAGCCTCAAAACAATGGGAATAACATGCGTATACCTCCAAGTTTAGAATTTCTTCAACGTTATGCTAATCCTCAAATGTCAAATGCGTCTAATATTATTGATAATTCAAATATTACACCAATCACATCAGGAGTCATACCTGACCAAACAAAACTAGTTAATAGCAATGTTCAACCTGGACATAATATTAATTTTTTTCAAAATTGCAATCAAATGAGTGTTGGTGGAAGTATTGGCGGCGAAGACGAAATAGCAAGCAATTTATTGCAGGCACATGATATGAATATGCCCCCGTTAATAGCACGTGGAATGAGACCTATACGACATAGCAATATGAATAATCCAGTTATAACAGCACCAAGAATGCAAGCTGCAACCATGCCGCAATTTTCTGGTAGTTCGCAAGATAGTATCGATTGTAGTGATCTCAACAATGTATTTTGTCCACCAACTAACTCACCTGCAACAGCAAATCAGATATTTCCTGGATCTGGTCAACAGAAACAAATAAACAAAGGAATGAGCGGAATTTGTCAAAATATAAATTCTGGGAATTCAACTGGAAATAATATGCAAGTTCACAACACCGCCCTTACACAAAATGATACAGCAGTTATGCAAAGTGCTATGAACGCACCATCAGCAATGTTAGGTGCAAACCCGAACAATAATATTATGCAGAATACTCTTGTTTTAAGCAATAATGTAGGATCTGCTGGTCCTTGTGCTGTTGGAAGTAATACAAACAGCAATGTTAATTACAAATCATTTGTAGGGCCTAATACTAATGATTTAAAATATGCTCAACAGTATCATAGTTTTCAACAGCAACTGTATGCCACATCAACAAGAAGTCAGCATGTTGGCAGTGCCAACATAGCCACCAATATTTCTGCTAATGCTGCTTTTTTCAATAATAAATAATACAATTTTTCCGATAACTAAATTGTTTTGAATTTTACCAATAATCGTTAATTTAAATATATTACTTACTATTGTAACTATTCTAATTAAAAACATTATTGTTTGATTAAATGATTTCTTATCCCGGTTTGTGCGGTGAAATTTGTCGGTTTTTAATGGTATAACAAACTAATTAACGCTAAATGCAAATTTTAGCTTTCTTTATATATTAAAGACATTAACTAAAATCTCTCATTCACATTATAGAAACTGACAACCATTTACTTCTCTTCTCTAAATGTCAACTATAAATTGTTCAAATCAGTAATGGCGTGGAAATCTATGAAATAAGCTAAACAATTACATCAAATCCAAAGTCAAAATCATATCTGCACCTTTAAACTGATATTTACTTCTGTCGCCCAAATTATATTTATTTTTGGGTCGAATATGTTTGTTTATAGACATGTGGGACAAGTTGTCACTTTAAAAGATTAAGTCATCACCAAATCATATAAAATAAAACAAATGATTAGGAATAAATCATATCCTTAGCAACAAAAGGATATGAATTCATTTTCTAATACTTGGTTTAAATATTTTCAGAATATGTGTATTTAATTTACGTACATATAATGCACCTTTAGAGGCATCTGATTAAACATCTGTGCCTTGGTTTTCAAGCGAATGTCTTATATTTATATATGTATTTGATTTTTAATATGGAATTCTGCGATCTGCGTCTGTCTCGAGGAGAAGATTATTGTTGCTGTTATTTTAGCTTATGTGGATCTATGTAGCAGGAGGCATGAAAGTAATTGTAATTCATGAAAGAAGTAGGGGACAAGTGAGTAAAATATTGGTTATTTGCGGTAAGGGGTAAACATGGGCTAGGTGGGCTTTAATTAAAATTAAACTTGGTCGAGACGGAGAAAGCTAGCTACTACGAGTAAGATGTCATTCATCCTTAGACATGACAGCCGGACCCTGTTGACAATTTTCTTGCTGGACAACCGTAATCTCGATGAGTACCCTACATCTTTATAGAGAACTAAATACCTCCATTACAATAGATGTCGATGTATTTATGAAACGAATAAAGGGATGCACGGATGTTTCATAGAAGAGTCATGTTGATAGATGAATCTACTGATCATGTTACCATTTAGATGTTCATCTCTGTAGCACTCAAATGAATATTTTAGGACGGTAGGTGCTTGTGCTCTCTTTATAAGAAGCATTTTATATTCTGTATGATTATGGTCAACATGCAATGGCAGCCGGCTAAAATTCGCAAAGTTGCATTTTGACAAGATTTGATATTTATCCATTGTGTCCCACAGAGCTGTGGGTTTATAATAAAACAACAGATTGGATTTTTAGTTTGATTTTAGCTGTATTCACCGCTGTCAATGGGCGAGTCATGGATACCTATTTAAAGGGGGTTGGCAAAGGATTGTGGTGGTATTAAGAAAAGATTTCTATCACAAAAGACGGATCACAATGGGATTGTATGCGCAAATAACAAATACGAGGTACTAATAAGCAATTTTGTTCGGAAAATTAAAAGGGGGCTTCAAGTTAAGTTTTTTTCTTTTTTCTTAACATGTACTTTCAACTGCAGTTTGACGTCGAGCGTAATGCCCAGATGCTTCTAAGTTTTCGTAGCAATCCTGCATGCCAAACCTAACCAAAGACTTGCAATACATTTAGGAAGACGGAACAATAAAGTTTATTTTCTTGCATCGCTGATTCAATAGCATTTATGTGTATTTGGGTGATTGTTGAGTGCTTTTTTCTGAAGCCAAATTGATGAGCAGAATATAAGTCGCTCTTCTCGATTATTGAAAATAAACGTGCTAGCTGTAGTTTTTAAGCAAATTTCAATAACGTTGTCAATTGAGACCTATTTAGATGATTGGGTAAGTTTCAAAGAACTTTGGTCGTTATCAAGTCAAAACAAGATTATTTGAATTTTAAAATGCTCGATTTAGTTGCCACTTTATTAACGGGCACCTGGTTACTTACCAACGTTTCCGTAATTTCCGCTTCTCCATAATCTTGTTTATTATGAAAGGTGGATATTTTTTACCGTGCAGAATTACCTGTTTTGGTGTTGGCGTACTGTTCCAGTTGATAGTGGTTAACGATTTGGTCAATGTTGCGGAAATGTACAAGCTGTAGATGAAAATATTTACAGTTTTTAAATGTATTTATTAACTTGGATGTGTTTTGATATAATGATGGATTTTGTGAAACTATCAGTTGAACTGGTGAGTGGTAAGTCTTGAGCCCCAAAACGTAGCGCAATTATCGGGATTTATGGTATAGTACAAGTTTTTAAAAGTTATTTGCGATTACTTGGTCAATTGAGTTTCAGCGATAAAACCGATGTTATTTAATATGACTTCGAGTTAGTTTTTATGTTTAGTTAAGCCATTCGCATTCAATAAGAACAGTTTTATACAATTAGTCACAGTCTAAAAATTTCATATTGTGCGCTAGCGCGCTCAAACGCAGTTCGAGGGTTTTAAATATCTCTTCCTGCTGAATTAATTTTGTTAAAATAACCAATAATCATAACCAAATAATGGCTACAAGACCATGCCCTCAGTATATCGCTAAATAGCGATACCCGGACACATAATGGCTAGTCACTGGAAAACAGCGACTGAGATACTGTTACTACAAAAGTATGTAAAAGCTATACTTAACCCTACCAATATCTATGTTATGTTCTAGCTTATCCACATATAATAATAATAATATATAATAATATATCCTACACTATATAATATACTTATCAATTTAAATGTAAATATTAGAGAAATTGTAAAAAAAATAGAAATTATTATGCGAATGGTTTTGTGTTTATTTGGCCATGAGAATAACCAATTCGAAATTTCAGAAATTGAATTCGAAATTGAATTGAATTCGAAATTGAATTGAATTCGAAAAGTAAGTCGCATGCCAATGAAAGTTTATAATAATAAAAGCTAATAATCATAAAAAACCATACCAATGAATGGTAATAATAAAAAGGACGTTAAAGCTTTCACTTACCTGTCGATGGTGTCGATCACATTGAAGTCACACATACTATTATACTTTGCCGTTGCCAATGGCCTACTATATTTATAATGAAAACTATCCAGGCACAAACATACATGACACACTAGGGAGGCTCAGAAAAACCAAAATGCGATTTTAAATGAGCGCACCCCCTAGGAATATGCCATTGACCAAAAAAATGATATCCCCAAAGTTTTGGAGCAATAGGATTAAAAATGACGTTGTGCTATTCGAGCAAAGTTGGGTTTTCAGTACAAAAAACAGAAATTTTTCAATTTAAGGTCATTTCTTATCTTTGTTACTTATTTCAACAAGTACCTTCTGCTCAAAAAGTATCCGGATTTGTTAACTACTCTTTAAGTAATAGAAATTTTTTTAAAAATTGTTTTTTGTTATGTTGTTACACCATTTCTTGACATATGGTACAAATTTGAGCGCCATCTCTCAATTAGTTTGTTTACAGCAGCTGTTAATGTGAGACTACCTCAAGTGCTTTTAGCGATTTTAACTATGGAAAATTCTTGTTGTACGCGATTTTTTGACCAAACACGGCACCACTGTCATCGCTCAGGCACCATATTCGCCAGATCTGGATCTGTGCGACTTTTTCCTGTTGCCGAAACTTAAATTGCCCCTTCGAGGTAAGCGTTTTGAGTCGATTGAATCGGTAAAAGAGAATTCGCTAAAGGAACTAAAAGCCATACCTTCACGGGCCTATGAAAAGTGTACGTAAGATTAGGTTAAGCGTTGGCATTTCGGTTGTGCATGCCGTAATACATGCAGCGATTTAGGTTATTATTTACAAAAAACTATTATGTTTTATTATGTTTTATAACTCAAATCTGACTTATTATATTAAGGATAACTTTTATGATAATGTTCGACTACTTGCAGAACATATTGTGTTTCCTCTATATTTTTTTGTCAAAATCGAATTATAATCCATCATAAGCCTAATTTCTCTTTCTGCACAATCATTTACTACATGACGTCTGGAAAAGAATTCAAGTCCATCTCTATAATCTTGTCTCTCCGTCCATGTCGAAGGATCGAAACTGATAAAAATCTACGACAGGCAAAAACGATCAAAAAAATTTGTTATATCTTCGGCCACAAAATCAATAAGGTTCTTTGAGAAAAATGACTTCTACTCACTTAGTTTGGGTTCTAATTTTCACACATATGCTCACCATAAAAATGTATATACCTCGTACAAATCATCCGAGTTATATATCAATTGACCTCTTAAAATAAACATTTTTAGTAAATACATGACTTTCGCCATCCAATTAGAATTTGAAGTGGCACCTGTGCGACTAAATTTAAAATTGCAGACATTTGGAATTTTCCGCTTTAATATCATTAATATTAATATTGTATCAGTTTTGAAGACCGCTTTTAAAGTTATTTGTTATGAATTTGCCTAAATTCATAACAAATAATTTTTTCTTTGCTTACAAAGAAATTTCTTGTTTTGACTACATTTTCATATCTGCTTAAAAATCTTTATAAATAATTGAGTAGAAAATTATTATTAAATTATTATTTTTTTCCCTCTTATAACGTGAGCCACCCTAATGACATACATATGATATAACCGTACGTAAGGAATGTTATTACGAAATACGTAGTACTACTTTGATGAAAAAAGAAAAGAGATATGGTGAGTCGAAATAAAAATAGCTTGTGAAATTATTGACGAACTTAAAGCTATCAAACAAACGGCCATCGTAACTACTTAGAGAAATGCAAACCTAGTAATTTAAGGTGTATTTTATCTGCAAGTAATACAAGTACTGTGGACCAAACAGCAGAGTCTATATCACAGTGCTCTGATGCGACAGTTAGCCATAAGAAGAAAATCGTTCTATCTCTAGAATCGGTGCCAATGCCACGAAGTGCCAACAGCCATATAATTTTTCTGAAGCGAATTTTTCTTAACGAAATTCCATATCGGGAAACTAACATCGTTATCACCAGAGTTTGCAGCAGGCGATAACAAGTCGTTTAACTTCATAAGCG